TCACGAGCACAACGTCATCCAAGGACTAGATCACCTTCCAGCTCACATCAAGCCCCTCGACCTTCGGGTTGTCTTTGCTCGCAAGCATGACGGCACCTTTTTTTTTCTGACATCTTGGCGTGAACCACGTTGTCAGACAAAATCTGCAACCCCGCTCTTTGCGGCCCGCGTTTTGGCGGCGCCCTCGCTCCCACCGTGTCCGCTCGCTTGCTCGCTTGCTTGCCCCGCGGACATGGCCACTGAGTCCGGCGGCGAGGATTCTTGGACCCAGGTCCGCGGTGCTAAACGCCCGAGTGCCGAGTCACCTCCAAGCAACACCACCACCTCGCCTTCCCAAACTCGTCGTTCTGCAAAACACACAAAACATGGCAGCGCTCGCCATGACCGTAACCATGTTTTCCCTGACCCCATGACCACCCCGCTTCGCCCTCACGCCCGCCACTCTGTCCCTACCGCCCGTGCCTCGTCTCATGTGCCCTCGACGTCCCCCGCTGCCGGTGCGACCGAGTCTTCGACACGTGCCGTCGTGCCCGCGGCCGAGCCAGTGACCAGGACGTCAAACGGCGGCGGGGAGCAACATCCCATCATCGGAAACACTTCCAATGCTTCTCCCCGCACCCCTCGCACGCCATCCAGCCCTCGCTCCTTTGCTCAAGTTGCTGCGGCAATGCCTGCCGCCGCCACTGCCACATCTTCGGCCCCTATGACCGAGGATTTGTCAGCATCGGTGCCCTCTGAGCCAAATGGCAGCGGGGAGCAACAATCCTCGCCCGAGTCCACAGGGCAGACACATCATTCGATTCCTAACACACCATCGGATGTTTTGACCATGTCTTCGGATGAAAGCGACTCCCCTCCTCGCTCCACCGCACTCCGCGCGCCCACCCCTATCGCCCCTCCCGCACATGATGGTGACGGTGACACAAACGGCAGTGCCACGCCTGAGCCATTGGTGCAATCACCTACACCCGCTCAAATGGTGCTGCCAGATCCATCGGGTACACAACAAACCCATTCCGATCCCTCTCCGCCCTCTGCTTCACCCCCTGCCACTACCATTTTGCCCGCTGCCATTTCACATCCTGTCGAACACAGTGAGCATGCAAACTCAGCCCCACTTGGCGAAGTCAGTGAAAGTGAAACACACAATACAGCGGGCGAACACAGTGAGAGTGAGCAAGATGTTCTTCTCAGCGATCCCGCTCCGCCCATCGCTGCCAACGTGCTGGATGCCCAGCGCAAGGTCCTGCTGAAGACATCTGGCCACAGGCAACTCCTCGCCTGCCCATTTGGGCTTTGCAAATGCAAGGGGCCCCGCCTTGACCGCAAAGCCTGGGTCAATCATGTACTACGCGAGCACCCCTACGACGAGCAAGCCACTGATCTGGTCAAGCAGGTGATGGAGGCCAAATTGGTCGCCCAGTGCAACAAGTGTCACCTCTTCTTCGAAGCTACTGGTATCAGTCAACACCGNTCCCGATGTGGTGCCAATCTGAAGCGAGCGACCGA